AGGCTCGGCCTGTCATTGTTTGGCAGAAAAAAAAAAAAAAAAGCAGAATGCCACTGCAAGTGCTGCTCTAAAACATTTTGGAAGTGGCGAACCCGGGCTAAGCTCAGCCCATGCCGTATGTGGCTGCTGCAATGGTAGAAATGTACCATACATTATATTTATATCCCTTTAAATTTTAACAGATGTGCATTGAGAGTTCGGATACATAGTATTAGGAGGTATCATCTGGAAAACACTATGTAATCAAATACAAAACAAGTAAGGTTTGTATTTGAATACATAGCAAAGAAGAAACTTTCTTAAAGTGAACCTCAAGCCTAAAGACAGGCAGCACGAGCTGCTTACTATTACCTTTATTAGTCAGAAAAACATTTTCTGTGATCCTCCCTCTGATTTAGTTTTACTTTGCTACTTGTTCCCGACTTCCATTGATCTGATAGCAGAGCTCCACCATCCACTGCTTCCCTAAACAATGAGAGTCATTTACTGGCTACTGAAGCACTGGAATGACAGTTGGCAGGGCTTAGCTATGAAGTGAAAGAAAATCAGGCACCGGTAACAGAGTGAAACTAAATCAGAAGGGGCACAGAAAAATCTTTGTGGCTGAATAATTGGAGGTCTGCTTTAATACACGACAGAGGATTAGTATCAGCTTGTCTCTTTGAGTGATTATAAGTTCAAACTGAGCCTGCGCATAAAGAATTAATGCATTTCACTTAATAGGCAATAGTTAAACAATTCTGACTATAATAAAGAAGGAAAATATTTACAAATCACAATACATTCCCTTTAAAGAAAGTCGTTTTGGCTGCTTTGAGGCTCCTTAATTTATTCAGTTTATGTGCAAATGCACGAATACAAAGCATATTTAGTCTGCTATCCCAAAAAATTTTGAAGGCCAGAGAATGTAAATAATGATATTTAATAAGATCTTACGCACATAGATATTATCACGATTGCTCTGCTGATTGTGTGAAAATACTACGTAATGAATACAGCTAAATTATGTTATTATGTACAAAGATCAATATTTCCTAAATATAAAGCTTTTTTTTCCAGATAAATCAAAAATTAAAATGACATAAAAGGTAAATAAAAAAACAATATAAAGAAGATCAAATTAAAAAACACATAAATGAATTTGTTAAAAATACAATAAACATAAAACTATCTGTACAAACCAGAGGGAAATGAATGCTGCACATACAACAAATGATACATTTAGTATTATCATACAGTTAATCTAGAAAAGGAAGTCTTCTGTTTACCGGTGTCATTTGTGTATATCATATTTTCCAGGAAAAAATGGATCTGGCAGATGACAATGAACATCAAAGTATGCATGTGGCATTAATATGTGAAATGTGTGCATTGTTTTTACACGAGGCAGATATGGTAAAAGGTCAAATACAAATAAACTGTTAACACCTCTGCCTGTACACTTAGTCTGGCTGAGAGAAAAAAAGCCACAAGGGGGAACGGAATACAGCACAGCAGAAAAACACATCAGCAACACCTTTATGTGTGAACTTGACCAGTATGAGATAGAAGCCAAACCAGAAAATGGGTAGGCTGCAGCTCTAATATACTCGGACGCATCAGCCTCACACAGCGAGATTCTGATGAGATATGATAGCCAGTTGCTCTTTAAATGGCATTACAAGGATTGGGGGTTTCGAATAGTCCTATTACAGTAGGCAATGTGACTTGCCTTTCCTGGTTGCAACCACTGTTCCTTTCAGCTTTCTTAGCACCTCAGCTTGTACTTCAGTCACTAGATGTAAATTAGACATTTCCTTCTTCAGCTCCCAGATCACCTGCCGCGCGCTGAACTCGCTGGTAAAGACAGAAAAAAAAAAAGCTTTCATTTGCTGCCCAATATCATCTTTATTTCATCTTTACGTTAACCTCGAGCCACTGACTGTTGTATTGGCAATTTCATATATAGAATGCTTATAGAATGCTTTTCAATTAACAGTTAATTGCAAATGTAATTCTAAAATAATAATACATTATAAATTATCATACACATACATACATAAAACATCAAATAAACATAGTAAGAATAACATGTTGATTTATGATAATATTTCTATGCTCATTAGACTGCAAAGCCTAACTGTACTGCTAAGAATGCATGTCTACTGTGCTGTGGATTTTCACAATAACAAACAGTTCTCTGTAGATTTTCATCATGAAACATAAAAACAATAATAATAGTTTGTTAACAGCTTTTAGGGCCCATTCACACCATGTCCGGATCATCTCTAGACCAGACCAGATTGTTTCCGGACCCAAAATGCATCCTAATGTATTCCTATGCTATTTCTGGCCTCTGTTCACAACAGCGCAGTCATAGCTTGTCCTATTTTGTCTGGTCTGGAATGCACTGGAACGCATAAAAACGCACTTGTAAGACCATTTTAAGCTAAAAAATGAATTTCCAAACACAGCAAAAATGCAATGCACTGCATTCCAGATCTGGTCCGGAAAATGGTGTGAACCTGCCCTTAGAGAAACACAACTTCTACCAATAGTTAAAACTGAAGTGCACTAAAATGCTGTTTTTATGCAAATAGGCAACAAAATCGTTCACCGAGGCACACAGGAATCAGCTAATGGAACAAGATTGCAAGCATAGATATCTGGCCCTAGATTGTACTCAGGGCCAATTGTGGGTGCATGCTTAATTGTAGAAAGATCAGGCTAGACCACACAGAATATTTTCAGGGATGCACATTTCTTTTCTCTGACAAAGCAAAATTAGCTGTTAGCATTGTGGTAATAACCAGTTCAGAGAGGTATCTATCTCTCTAGACCTGGGCTTTAACAGCCATGCCTTTGAAGCCAGCTACTGTGAAGCAAGAAGGTAGGACAGAAGATCCTGACGATCTGGAAGTGGATGATGTCAGAATACTGCATCCACCGAGGCCAGGTCAGAGATTTTAGGATTCCTTTCAGCCTCAATCCTGTGGAGCAGACAAGGAAGGAATTTCCAGGCGGAAAGGCCTAGATCAGGCTGTACTCATCCCATGGAGCCCCCAGAGCATCCAATGCTTCCGCCAGAGAATCCCTGACACTAGAAACAAACCTGTGCCCCCCATCTGTGACCTAGGTGCTGAAATACCTGTGTAGGGAGTAGGCCCATTCCCCCAGGTCCTGCAGCAAACGATTTACATATATTACAAACCAGCACTGCTAATTAAAATGAAACTATTGACTGTTTTCTGGATATAAAATTATTTTTATTTGTGTCAGTTTATGTAAAATAGGCTCTTTCTAACATGTGCAGGGGTATAAACAAAACAAGACAAGGGCACTATAGTGTCTGCCACCTCAGTGAAAAGGAAATGCTGTAGCTGGTGTTCCCAGTGTGCAGTCACCACTAGCCAACATCATCAAAGAGTTACTTCTAAAGCATAACAGAGGCAAGCTCTACACATCTTGTGCTCACACCTGCTGTATGCAATGATGGAATGCAGCACATACACCAGCAAGGACTGATATCAGTAGGCTTGTGGCTGTCTTACTACACCAAGAATTATGTGATCCATTAGAGGTTGTTATTCTTCCTGCAAGTGGTGGATTCCATCTTCAGCTATAACTCTGCTGAAAGCAATGAGTGAGCCCCACTAGCCTCCAGTGGGAGGCTAGTGGGATATATTAAAGACTCAAGACAAGCATTCCATCAAGGGCAAGAAAAGCTGGGATGCGCATCCACTGATCTTTGTCGGTTTCTGAATTCTGCCTTAATAAGGCTTAATCTGATATACTCTACCCTGCACACTCACCACTTTGTCACCATTAGCAATCTCAACACTATGCCACCCCTAACCACCATGGACACACTCCCTAACAACTGTGCAACACATCCACCTGCCCCTCAATACTTAATCCTGCACCCCTCTCTTACCACTCTGCCACACAACTCACATTTTCTCCACTTCCTCACAACTCTGCCACCCTATTTTTCTTGCCAATCTGCTGTACAACCTTGCCCTCAAAACTCTACCACCTGGTCACACATCCCTGCCTTCAACACTTTTCCCCCTGCCCACCCACCTGTGCACTCACCACTCTTCCCACCACTGCAGCATTTGTAACATTTTAGCGTGATGTATCTTTTCCCACTGCTTAATATATTTAACTTTATTTTCCTTTAAGTTTTAACTTTTATTAAATCATACAATAAAGTCCTGTAAACTGTGATATGTGTACTTACAAACTCAAAGGGGTCAATATATAAAGGATTATATGTGTGCTGTTTATTATATATGTGATGTGAGATTCGCACAGTGAATGTTTGCTGAACATAGACGTCTATATTTTACAGCATTTAGCTATAGCTTTTTTTTTTTAAGATATCGCCCTACGTGCAATATAGCTGCCAATGGACACATCTTCATAAAGTTTGATTTCATATGTGACCAGCAAAACTAGTTCGTTAGTGAAATCTCTTTATTTTGTTGCATGCTGATGGGCGTATCTTGATTGAATTTAAATGTAATGGGTGAATCTGGTTAGTGAGTGGAATCTCTGTATTATATTGTATGCTGATGGCCAAATCCACTTTGAAAATTATAGAATAGGGTGAACCTTCTTTGACTGAGGGATGACTGCCCAGTAAACATTTGTGGTGTGAATCGTACACCTAATGCTTTGTAAATGGGCCTCAAAATGTGAAATTACAGTATTTGTCTGCACATAATGAAGAAGAACCAGTATGGAAATATTTTATGTTAATTCAAACTAAAAGGCAAACAAGAATACTGCCTTAGCAATAGTACAAAACACAATGATCAGTAACCAAACCAAGAGTGCACATTTCATACCAAAAACAAAACAAACCACAAAACCATCACAAAACTGCAAGAAGCCAGGTTTTTGCTTTCTGTGTTCTTTTCTGAGCTGCCTAATGTCCATTTGCATCTCTTTTTAGGGGTTAATGGTGGCCATACATACACTGTGGCCACAAATAACCACAATTCACTGTCAACATGCCCTCAAGAAATCAAAGATACTTCTAGGCCTGGCAGAACATGTGCTCAGATAATAATCAAACACTGACATCCATTCCTTTGTTCTGTGGATGCATTGCTCTTTGAGAAGATCGAAATCTAGTATATTAGACCGCTAAATGTTGTTGTAAAAAAAGTTAAACAATTCCAATAAAAAAATCTTTGGTGCAGTGGGGCTCAAGTATCAAAGCTGAAACTTGCAATAGACATAAGTTGGCGTTTGACAGACTCACAAAGTATCCTTTGTATGAATGAACTTTCAAAAAACAGAAATGTCCCTATCTACCAAAAAAGTTAATCTTTCTCATACGGCAGTGACAGATGAGACTTTCATTCTTCCACACACAGAAAATACATATGCACTATGTAAATACTTAAGCAGTTTTATAATGATTGAGAAATAGTAATGCGATTCACTTGGCCAACCAAAAACGTTTTGTATAAATGTGATATACTCCTGCACCAAAGTATGAAAGTAAAGCTACCAAGCACGGATACCTACACCAACAAAAGCGTATTAGTTAAGTATAATCCTAAAATGAAATGCCGAGCTATTATTGCTAGATGTGACACTAAACTATAAAAAATATTAATACAAATGGGATCATGAATCCAGTGGTGTTAAATCAAAATTTAACAGTGTTATACAGTGTTACACATAACAGTGACCACCAACATTTTCAACAGCAGCAGCGTGAATTCTCAGTATTCAACGTATCTACAATGCATGTTTAACAAATCCTCCATGCAAAATTAAATGCAAAATATATAAATAACAAAAACACGTTTAATTATAAATCAAATAATTCCATCAGAGTGTCCATCAAGAACTACAGTATATTTCATAATCACCACGAGTTGCTCAGATGTTCAACAGGTCCACAATTCATATGTGTCACAATCTGTAATAGTACAAATGAAGAAATAATGGTCACCAGCACACCATAGTGGTAATTAAGCAATAGTCCGTTTAATGACACATTGCCATTCAATGCAAGTGCTTTCGGGGGCCTCAGGGGATCCCCTTCATCAGGCTCAAAATGAGTGCTGGTGACATTATTTCTTCATTTGTACTATTCATGGTGCCGTCCGTGGTCCCTACTTCTGCACTTGGATGTTCCGGTAAGGAGTGCAGCAAGACCTCTGGTTCTTAACAATCTGTAATAGCTCCAAGTCCAATACAACACCAATGTGTCACAAATACAATAAATAAGCAATTCCTCCGCCTTCCCCAAGTGTATCGTGCACTCAGCCCATAAAGAAAAAGGCTCAACTCCTCCTGACACCTAGTAGATTGGTCTCCAAGTCCACATCCCTTTTGAGTAGTGGGGGGGATTCCCTGAATGTGGCTCTTAAACAATCAGCTCCTTCTGTGATCTTTTTTTTTTTGCATTTAATTTAGCATGGGAGATTTGTTATACATGCATAGTAGATACGTTGAGTACTGAGATAATTCACGCTGCTGCTGAAAATTCTGGGTGTCACGGTTATGTTTAACACTGCTAAATTTTGATGATCATATTTGCAATAATAATTTTTGTATTTTAGTTTCACTTCTAACATTAATAGCCTGGCACTTCATTTTAGCTAAAAACTTTCAGTTCTGATTTTTGTTCTTCTCAAACCTGATAAACATGTGGAATTATGTGGCTCGCATTATCACATGCTACTGCTTAATTGCAGATTCTAGCCAAACTTCTAGCCAATCACTTCTGTAAAGTCATTTTAACCTAGTGAACCCAGACCAAAAAGGGCTTTATGGACAGGCAAACATACCTTTACTAACATTAGGAGATTGCACTTAAAGAGGCATGCAGC